ATGGTCTAACGACTACGGCATGCACGACTATGAGTACACCCCCCCCCCCCCCCCCGGGCGGATGGAAAATCGAAAAATTGACAAGTTTCCAAAGTTTCCATGAACCACCAAGAGAAGATACGAGCCATTGGGGAAGCGGTTGTGACCTTTTCAAACGTTCGCGTTCTGTTGCCTCGACAATACATCTCGCACACAGTAAGTAGCGCTACGTTAATGCATACCCGCGACGAAGAGGCTTGTATGTAGCCCACTGTAGGAACGATCAAGAGAGCAGGTGTGTCCAAGAGTGCACCTACAGACCGAACTGCTGTTTACTATGGAGGAGTACTCTTAAGACAACTAGAGGCTGCTGCAGAACGATGTTCGGGGAAGGCATGAGAAGCTCCCGAAGACAAGCTTGGGGGTCGCGGGGTGATGCGCGCCCCGTCCCGGGGGTCTCCAAGTATGCCCAGATGACCTACACACACGCAAAGACACAGCAGCAGCAGCAGCCTCAGCGAAAATGCCTCAGCGTATAACCCGGGGATCTTCGGTGAATGTCCAGCTAAAACGCCTAGGCATGAAACCCGGGGGTATCTGTAAGAATGTTCCCGCCCCCCGCAACCCCGCCCCCCACACACTCCGCGCCAAAGGGGGTGATCGCATCACTTTGTGTTGAAATGGTCAAGCACCCTCGAGGCAGTTGCACAGTGCTTGTAGCTGTCTCTGGGAGCGAAAGCATCAGAAAATATATGTAGCCATTCGCAGGTGTCATCCGTACGCAAGGAAGTAAGCACAAGATGCGAACATCCTTACTTAGCAGGATGCAGCGCGCCCTCTATGCGACTCGCGGAATACCTCACGGCGCTTCGCGCTTGGTGATGTGCTAACATGGTCCAGTGAGAACACGGCATGCTCCGTCCCGGCTTTATAGGGATGCGAGGTCAATGGCCTAACGACTACGGCACGGTTCACCCGTGGAAAGAGATTATTCAGATCGCGCTGAGGGCCTCTTTTGCATACGCCGAGGCGCGAACGAAGTGTGTGTGTGTGTGTACTAGATTCCCAGCACTGCCCGACTGCAGCGGCAATTAAATATATCAGCACGCTCACGAGTCTTGACCATGGCATTGGGACCGCGGGGATTTAGAGATACGTGTTTATTGCATCACTGGGCGCACAAAAACTCTCATGTCTTTGCAAACCCAGCAATTGTTTAGTTTGTCTTCTTGCCAGCTTCTTTTGTACGTCGAACTTGCAACAGTAGTAGCCTCCAAATTCGTGTGTATTTGTCCCCCGATTCCTGGATCGTTGCGGTTCTAAAGGAGGCAACACGTGCACCATCAGTAATTCGGGTGGGAGAAAGGGGGCGGGGGGCGGCCATACAACAACCATTGTTTCCTGCAAGCAGTTTCAGATACAAGTTGACGTTTTCGAGCTCATGTTTCAGCAACTCTCTTGTTTTTGACGCTGACGTATTGTCATGCTGCATCGTTTTGCTTCGGCCACAAGATACTGACGGTACTGTATCCGGCTACGTACACAGCTCGTTCATTTTTTTTGCTTCAGTTTGACGACTCATTTCTTCAGTTGCTTGTCGAAAAAACTACCACTTTCACGTGTACTTTTCATGACGTCACGTTCATGCTTCGAAACCATTTCTTGTTCCGCAGGGGTGACTGGTCCCGGGCTGTTCACTTCGAAGAATGCCGTCTTCTCGACAATAGAGGGAACCGCGACCGCAGCGACCAACTACGCGTTCGATATCTCGCAGTACGAGGTAAATGGTCCACGAAAAAAGTAGTGACCCCGAACAACGCTCTTTACCGCTCTATATTTTAACGTGCGTGTTTCCTACGCATGGGTAGTAACCGCTTTCTTAGCACCTGTGTCCTTGGTAGGCGCGCGGTCGCTCGCCATGGTTTTTCGTCTGTGCCTTTTGTCCGAAGGTGCGACTTCTTCCTTCCACTTGATGATGGAGATGAGCGAGACGCGCAACATCAACGCGGCACGTTGCGGGGAAATTCGCGCGAGAAAGGAACCGCTCGATCGAAGAACTCGAGGACCACTGTACAATGTTTAATGTTTCCGATATTACGTGCAGGGACGACTTGATGCGCGTCTCACGGGGCCATCGTTTATTCTTCGGCCACGGTCTCTCTTTTTACGCGTGTATACCGACAACAGCGCCGTCTGCGCCCCCTCCCTTTGGCAAGTGGTGAGCTGTCCACCTTTTCCAGTCATGTTCCACTGTTTTCTCGGGAGGTTTGTTTGTCATTGACACGCCTTCGCACCTTCGTTTGTTCTTGTTTGCTTTTTCTTCGTATCACGCGCGCTTGATGGTCGTCTGGCCTGGTTTGTTGATGCTTTTCGTGCCTGCCTCTAATGGAAATATGTTTCCAAACGCGAACGCGCAGAGGACGCACCAGAGCATCTACCTCGCGATGAGGCTCAACATCCCCATCCAGCTGCAGAACTCAATGGAGCTGAACGACCAAACGTGAGCCGGCTTTAAGAGTCTCGTTGTTTGTCTTCTTTTGACGGAAGCAGGGGGGAAGGGAGAGAGAAAGCCAAGGACGGAGAGAAAGGCAGAGGCAGGAGAGAGAGAGAGAGAGAGAGAGAGAGAGAGAGAGAGAGAGAGAGAGAGAGAAGCAGACGAGACAGGCAGGCAGACAGAGAGACAGACAGAGGAGAGACAGAGACATAGACAGAGACATAGACAGAGACAGACTGTCGGACAGACATACAAGCAGGCAGGCAGACAAACAAGCAGGCAGGCAGGCAGGCAGACGGCGCCATTGAGGGAGAGATGGCGTAAGAGGCGCGCGATGCGATCAGTGGTGTTTGCACCGCCGACCTCCTCTCGGAAGCACAATTTTTTCTAAAGAACCTGCACGAGTGCTCGAGTACAGCCAAGCGCCATTGTCTGTTTATGTTGGCGGCTTCATTTGAAAGTTAGTGGTACACCAGTGACGGCACCTAGCTTGCGATAAACCTACTGTGGTATTGGCACCGTTGTAACCAGTCGGAAAGAACCGCACGAGCACGAGGCGTAGCAGCTTCTTGCATGCTGTTGGTTAGATTCTCTCGGGACTGCTGTTAGCGACGGTCGAAGTAGTTTTGGGTGCTCTGCTTTTTACATTCGGATATCGGGATCCGCGGCAATTTAGTTGTTTTTCCTGTTTTTTTTTTGGAGGATTCGAGAGGTGCCCGACGCCCCTCCGTCTCTCATTTTCTACCCATCGCAGCCTGGCGCTGGGGTCGTAAGCCGGTGCACAGATTTCGTTCCGAGGGGTTTGCCCGACGTTGCGTAGTAGTACAAGCGGTCAGGATGCCCGGGACTCTCTATCTACTGGGCTGTCTTCTCTTCTTCTTGGCAGACACCCCACGATGAGCCAGCTCGCTACGATCTAGAGACGCGCGTCGCACACTCTCAAGAAACGCCGGAAAACTTGCATCGCCTTTGGGCAATCATCAACGTTGCTACTCGCTGCACTGCAGCTGCGGCCAACAAAAGACGATGGAAATTGCGTGTGCATGTTGTACTGTACGTGCGCGTTGCGTCGTGGCCTTGAAGGAGTTACGAAACCGAGGGAAGCTACAGGATCTCGCTCTACGGCTCGCCGCAATCCACGGTAAGAATCCCCCTCCTCCCCCCCCCTCTTGATTTGCGATATAGAATCACGACCCCCCCCCCCCCCCCGCTTTCCAACCCC